TTAAAGGATTTGCCACTGATGATTCAAATGCAAGTTTTGAGCAGTGTAGAGTAGCACTTGTTGTTTGTCATTTCTCCGATCACAAATGCAGACATGGTTTTATGTTTATGCGGCGTAACGTGTAAAAAGACAGTATAAATCATTATAATCCATAATTATGTCCCCACTGAATGCAACAAATGCCTCGTTTATAATGGGTTTTATATTTTTTTTTGTCTCGTCGCTCCAGCCGGACAGGGCATCACAGGTATGGTAGGGGCGTAACATTTCCGTCACACGCTTGAGGTATTCGGCCAATCACAACGCACTGGATAGATGGCCAATCAGAGCACACCTCGCTTTTCAGACCGATGAGCTTTGTAAAAATCGACGCGTTTCAGAAAGTCGGGGCATAGAGGAGAAACAATAATGTACAGTATGTTGAAAATAATGTGTTTTTTGAACCTTAAACCACATAAACACATTTCATTACACCAAATACACCAAATAATGTTTTTTTTAGCAACATCATATGACCCCTTTAATAAAAGCAATAAACCATGAAAGGCTGTGCATTACAGGAAGTTTACCATGGCGCCGGTGCTTCTTGAGACTTATTTCAAATAAAATGCAACATTTTTTTAAATAAATAAATACATTTATTATTATTATTTTTGACTGTAGCCTATTTATTTCTCTGTGTTCAGGCTGTGGGCCGTGTGTTACTGCTTCAATTGATCGATTATCTGACCAGTCGTTACCTGAGTGATCCGTTGGTGACACGTTTGTTGAACAGCAGTCGTGTGCACATCCTGCCATCCATGAACCCAGACGGCTTTGAGTCATCTGCCCGGGAATGCATGTATACAATAGGCCGGTAAGTGTGAGAGAGATGCTAAAGCTATATGTACAACGGACAGCATACACAACATCCAACATTGGCATAATAGTTAAAGTGCCCTTATTATATAATTTCGAATATTGCCTGTCATGCAGTGTATAATGTAGCTGTATGTGAATGTAAACAATTTGCAAAGTTGAAAAGCCGAAAGTGCACGATAAATAAAGTTATTGTCTCCTAAAAGAAAGAATCGACTCTGAACAGCCTAAACGAGTAATCAGTAATTTGAATCCCACTTCCATGATGGCTACACGTCACGGGGAAACACATTTGCATAGTGCCCACCTATGTTCTACTTTGGCCAGCCGCTGACCCACCTCAAACACTGTAGCTTGTTCGTGTGGTTAACATCATGTCGAGAAGAAGCTCTGTGTCCTACGCTGTGAAAGTAAATTTGTTTTATTTTCACTTCAAAAAGATACGGCTGCAAAAAATCAGTAGTTGAAATTCACAGCTGTACAACCCCAATCTTTTTTTTTTGTGTTCCCGTCATTTTACTGATGACTGCTTCTCTAATCTCGTGGAGTTCAACGTGGGATTCACAAAACGCTCGCTCTTGAAAGATGGCTCAGTACCCAGTTTATCTAGCTAGCTCCACTGAATCACAACCTGTAAGTATGACAAATAATAGATGTTTATATTTTCTATCGAGCGTTCAAAATATGGAACTATGGCAATGGGTGTATCATTTCCGACACGCGCTGTACGCAGTAGACCAATCACAACAGGCTGGCCGATATGACCAATCAAAGCAGAGCAGGCTCACGGAAAGGAGGGGTTTAGAGAGACTGAATCTTAGGACCGCTTCGAACAAATTGTTTGAGAATCGTTGGAAAATGTGATGAAATTAAATGCATATTGTGAGAAAACAAAAGCGTTTTTTGACCTTGCGTGCATGTAAACCTATTGTAGGAGACTCCCAGAACAAATTTGGGAACTTTAAAAATGGCATAATGGGGGCACTTTAAAATCTGGACTTAAACAATCACTGAGCCATCTACATTGTGTCCTTAATTTGTGTACATATTGCGTACATACGGGGATATTTCACCCAATTATTACAATGATTTTCCTGGTTTTCCATTCTCTGTGCAACACAAAAAGACAAATGTTGAAACATGTACTGGCTACTACCGTTATATGAAAGCCAGCTTGTGATGTTTGTGGGAAAAGCGTATTTTGTTGGAAGGACTTGGAAGGGCGTTTTGAGCAACTGCTTTACCACCATCATCACTTACATTCATGTACATAGGATATTGTGGTGTAAATAAGGTATACAGTTTCATTCTGAGTGGATTGCAAGCTTTGAAAGTTAGTACATTGAAAGGAAAATCTGTTTTTCCATAATCACACTTTAACATTCAGTTGAGCAAAATCTTTTTTTTTCTCCTTGAAAAGCTTAATTTTGCTACATGGAATTCAGAACCGTTTATTTCCAAGTTGTCGGAGCCTGTAATGGTCTGCCCGGAGAAATCATGCTTCAGATGAGACATTTAGAGATACAGAGCACTTTTCCCACAAATCATCCAAAACTTTGCAGATAAGCAGGATACAAAAGCCGAAAACACACATCTTATCTGGCATGAGGGATCTTACTCACACATACAGATGCACAAAGATAAACATCCATTACAGCAAACGGAATTGAACCTCAAACTGTGTGACCCACAGACTCCCAAACAGTGTACATGGTTTTCCTGGAGGAAAGGGGTATCATAAGCCTGAAGCAATGGAAAATAACTTTCTTGGTCTGTCGCCACAGCCTGCTGATAAACAAAAATATACTCATGTGGAAAAAATTGTGAAATCTGCAATCAGAAGATATGAAAACCCCCATATGGACCACCAAGTTTCATTCATCCCGTGGATGTAACAATGTGGCTTTTGATCACACTGTGCCAACCGGATGACAAAATGCAGTACAATCACTTTGGTGTCTTCTGATTTCATTGATACGTTGTCCTTTTTTGTTCAGAGAAACTAGATGGGTTGTATAGAGGCAAAGCGTGGAAGTTCCCACCGGGTGATCTCAATCTGTAATCCCTCCATACGATTAGCAATAAAGCAAACTTTTTTGCCACCCGGAATGCATATCTAGCAATAGTATAAAACTATCCTGATATTTTATATCCTGAAGAATTACAGTGGTGTGGAAAAAGTGTTGGCCCCCTTCCTGATTTCTTATTTTTGTGCATGTTTCTCACACTTTAATGATTTTGTGACCCCTTGGATGAGTCGTTGCTGTGCTCTTGGGGTAATTTTGGTCGGCTGGCCACTCCTGGGAAGGTTCTCCACTGTTCCATGTTTTTGCCATTTGTGAATAATGGCTCTCATTGTGGTTTGCTGGAGTCCCAAAGCTTTAGAAATGGCTTTATAACATTTTCCAGACTGATAGATCTCAATTACTTTCTTTCTCATTTGTTTCTGAATTTCTTTGGATCTCGGCATGATGTCTAGCTTTTGAGGATCTTTTGGTCTACTTCACTTTGTTAGGCAGGTCCTATTTAAGAGATTTCTTGATTGCGAACAGGTGTGGCCATAATCAGGCCTGGGTGTGGCTAGAGAAACTGAACGTGTGAAGGTGTGATAAACTACAGTTTTAACAGGGGGACAAACACTTCTTCACACAGGGCCATGTAGTTTTGAATTTTGTTTTCCCTTAATAATAAAAACCTTAATTTAAAAACTGCATGTTGTGTTTACTTGTGTTATCTTTGACTAATATTTAAATTTGTTGGATGATCTGAAACATTAAAGTGTGACAAACATGCAAAAAAAATAAGAAATCAGGAAGGGGGCCAACACTTTTTCACACCACTGTACATGCTAAATATCATTTATATTTGTATATGCATTGTCATGTTTTTCTTTGTGGGAGTCTGTGCTTTCTTTGTGGGAAAGCATATTTTGTTGGAAGGACTTTTGAGGCGTTTTGGGCAACTGCTTTACCACCATCATCACTTATATTCATGTACATTCAGTATCAAACGTTTTCCTTTTTTTCATCTTCAAAATCAATATTTTGTTTGCCGACAACTTCGTCATCAGATCCGCCATTAAGTTATGCTAATATTTGATTATGAATTTGCTCTGCAGTAAATCGCTGAGCCATGACAAGGTAGCTGCCTTTATAGGCAGTAGACAGTGAGGCAACTCACTAGGTTTTGCAATGGAGGCCGTGTGAGACAAGTTCAGTCATATGTCCAACTCTGTAAGCCCCAAAACTTTAGAGACACCAGACCTCATCTAATGTCGTAGAAGCCACATCCTTGAATACAAAACGTCCCGCTCCTGCAGCCTGAGACCACATAAGCGCTCCTGCACCGATGGGCTTCAATTGGAAACAGATCTAATCTGGATTTGATGATATGGTGTGTATGCTCAAAGAGGAGGAGACTGAGCAAGAGTGAAAGTGAGTGAGTGAGCGTGCTACAACAGCAGCCATGCAGCTGTGCACATCAACAATGATGACGATGGTATTTTTACATGCTGCGGTTCACTCTTATTGCCGTGGCTTTCGGTATGAGCTTCCTATGAGGTTTGGCACTTTCTGCATTGAATCACCACTCTCAAGCAACTGAAACAAACAACACAACCCGTCAGCTGCTGCCACTGTCTCTTATTTTGATCCAATGGACCTTAACCTATGACTTTTCGCATGAGGAAGAGAGATGGGAAGAACAAACAAATGAACCGTTCTGATTCTAATTCTGAATCTGGTTACTTAAAGAGGTCATGAAATGCAGTTTTTAGATTTTTTATATTATGTTTCTCAAGATTAGTTCATGAAGTTCAAGATTAGTTCATATCATCCATAAAGGCTCGTATCGGTGGTAACCACTTACCAAACTGAAGTCGTTCCCCTCCTGCAACCCAAAAATTTGTCGCTCAGGCACTTAATTAACTTCAGCCATGCATTCTAATGCTCTGCTATGAAAAGTTTTTACATCCACTGACAGAACAATGTCTGAGTTTGACGGTCTTACTCGACATCTTTATCCAACAGCCATATTGCAAATTTTTTCAGACTACTCTAGACTCCATCATACTCAGCCATAGCAAGTCTTCATCATGTATTTCTCGTAAACCCATACCTTTGATTTGTCTGTGCGCCAAGTCTGCGAAGAAAAAAATATAAACACCACATCACAAGTGGGGAGTCATTGTTTCCTTTGAAAAGTAAGTTAAGAGACAAAATTACACATTCCAATCATGTAAATGGCCTGAAACATACTATATGCAAAGTACTTGAGTTTATACTTTTGGGGACAATTTCTGCGATGGCAAAGCCATTAATCCAGTCTTCAGTGTCACATGATCCTTCAGAGATGATTCTAATGTGCCAGTCTGGTCCCAAAGTACTATTATTATTTTTTTTTATCAATGTTGAAAACTAAAAACAGGGCTGCTTTGTATATGAACGTTTCTTGTGGAGAAAGAAAGGACATTTTATATATAGCCCCCAAAAAGTTCAATAGTTTATTAAATAAAATCATCCTTGGCATCTAATACAGTAGATTGCTTGGATTATCTCTGTTGTTAGTCTGTGAAAAAAAAAGCTCTTTGCAGATATGAGTTACAGACCGTAATTAGCTGGTAATTAGACCGTAACTCCAGGCTGTCATTACATATAAACAGTGGTTGAAGGAAAGTAAACCCTATTGGGTTTACCTCCTTTATCACTCTATATATCTCAGATGGAGCAATGTGTCTTTTTAGACTGACCCAGGATGAGCTACCCTAACAAATGTTGTCATCCTTTAGATTGAGAGGAAATGTTTTTTCTCGAAGGACTAATTGCTAGGAAACGGACAAGCAGTCTATTTTCAGACGCTGTTGTACTGATGATTCAGAGAAGTACTATTATTTTTTTTTTTTATCAATGTTGAAAACTAAAAACAGGGCTGCTTTGTATATGAACGTTTCTTGTGGAGAAAGAAAGGACATTTTATATATAGCCCCCAAAAAGTTCAATA